GGGGGAAGGAATGGAGAAACAGGAGGGAGGGAAAAAGGGGGGTGAAATAGACATATTGGCCCTCTAGGCCCTGCATGTCTCTAGGAGGAAAGCCAGGAAATGATGACCCTGGCCACGTCTTCATGGGATGGAGGAAATGGAACCTTCACTATATTTGGTCTATAGGACTTTTTTTTGTTCACTATTGTAAGGGAGGGAGGAGAATAGAGAGATTAAAAGAGAGAGAGAAAGGAAGGGCAGGAAGGGAGGAAGAGACGAAGGGAAGTTGGTTGGGAGGAAGTGCCATAAAATCAGCTAACACCCCAAAACTGAAAAGTGGTGTTTTGTTCCATCTGTCCTGCAATAGAAAAGAAGTTACAGGCTGTCCATCAAGCTAGACACAGGCGTAAAGGAGTATCACACGCCACGGTATGAATCTGGGCCACCCCACAGCCCTCTGTGACCAGCAGCCCTCTGTGGGAGCTACAGATTTATTCTAAAGGTGGACTACGTGCTCTGCAGATCCCTCCAGTCTCAGAAAGCATCCTAAAGCATTAGAGCAGTTCCATGTAACTTGTGGGGAAATAGAGGGGCAGGGGGACCACCGCCCCAGGAAGCATCTGATGTGCAGCCAAGCCCTCAGGAGCCCAGCTGGGCTGCCGGCTCTCAGGAGGCCCTGGCAGCTTGCGGGTAGTTTTACTTCCCTTCCTGATCCTCCAGCCCTCTGCCCAGGCAGACTCATTTCCTTTCTTGGAGGGCCCCTGCCTTTGGACACTTCCTTCCCTCTTTGCTCCCCTGAGCTGTTGTCTCTGCCTCCCAGTCTCTTCCTGGCCCTCATCACTACCTAACACTTGATTGCGCAAGTGCAACTGCACAAAACCTCTGACACACCTGATTCAGAGTCTTCTGCAGGTGTGGGGTGCCCATGCGATCAGCCATGTGCCGGTAGGCGGGGTGAGAGAGAAAGAACTTCCTCTCGGCCGCCAGTGCCGCACGAATGTCTTTCTTGCCCTCGATGTCCTTCTGGCTTCGGTTCACCACACCAATGTAGCCTGCGGGGAGAGAGGGTCAGGGCAGGGCCACTGCCAGGCGGACCGAAGGGCCCAGGTGCCCATTGCAGCCCAGGCACAGAGCTAAGCAAGGTGCAGGTGAATATGTGGATTCTGTCCTACGAGTCACTGACAGACTGGGTTACAAGCTGTACACATTACTTAGAAACACGGAGAACGCAAGTACAGAGTGAAGTCCTGAAAAGCAACACAAGTGTTTGGAAGAAGGAGAGTATACGCAGCTTGGTGTGAGGGGTGGATGGAAACAAGCTTTAATGAAGGTGAAATCCAGAAGCTGAGCTTTGAAGACAGAAAGAGAAAAATCTCAAAAAGGAGGGCAATTCGGAGACAGCTGATCTTGCCAGAAATTAAAACCTATTCTAAAGCTACTATATTGGAAAAGGTTGGGTATATTGGGGCATATATGTCCAGAGAGATGAGTGCAATAGAAAGCCCAAAACCATACCCAGCAGCAGGTGGGAACTAACAGCTAACTCTTCAAATTCAGTGGGAAGAAAGCGGAGTTATTCAATGGTCGCTGTTGGTCAAGTTGGGTACCTACCAAAATTAATTCTTGAGAGATCACTAATTTACACATAAAATAGGAAACTACAGAAATACTTAAAAAAAAAAAACATGAGCGGCCGAAACCGGTTTGGCTCAGTGGATAGAGCGTCGGCCTGCGGACTGAAGGGTCCCGGGTTCAATTCCGGTCAAGGGCATGTACCTTGGTTGCAGGCACATCCCTAGTAGGAGATGTGCAGGAGGCAGCTAATCGATGTTTCTCTCTCATCGATGTTTCTAACTCTCTATCCCTCTCCCTTCCTCTCTGTAAAAAATCAATAAAATATATTAAAAAAAAAAAACATGAGCGAGTTTTCAAAATGAATGTATTTATATTAAAATTTGCTGAATGAAACCTAAGAAACAGTTAACTTTGAATACATGAGAAATGGGACTTGGGGGAGGGGGTTGAGAAACAGTCTCTTTAATTAAGAGCCTTCAGTACCATTTTGGAATTTTTTTTTCAAATGTGAGAAACCATTTTTTAGAATGAAAATGCTAATGTGAAGAAAAGATTTGCAATATTTAGAAATAAAGAGTAGAACAAGAAAAACATAAAGAGGACAAAATAGAGACGGGAAAGGGGATGGTGTTCAAAAACTCAGAACAGCCCAGCTGCTGTAGCTCAGTGGTTGAGCACCAACATGTGAACCAGGAGGTCTCAGTTCGATTCCTAGTCAGGCACATGCCCATGTTTCGGGCTCGATCTCCAGTGTGGGGTGTGCAAGAGGCAGCTGATCAATGATTCTCTCTCACCATTAATGTTTCTATCTCTTTCTTCCTCTCCCTTCCTCTCTGAAATAAAAAAATATATATATTTTTAAAAAGATAGAACATCCAGGAGACCCTGAGCATGGACACAAGGCACCAAGCAATACAGGTATACAAATGGGCACTGTGAGAGATAAAGAACTTAGTAGGCCTGGCTAGTGTGTCTCAGCTGGTTGAGCATCATCAGTCAGGGCACAGGCCTGTTTGTGGGCTTGATCCCCAGTAGGGGGTGTGCAGGAGGCAGCCAATCGATGTTTCTCTCATCAATCTCTCTCTCTCCCCGTCCCTTTCCCCCCCTCTATCTAAAATCAATAAAAACATATTTATTAAAAAATAAAAAATAGCCCTGACCGGTTTGGCTCAGTGGATAGAACGTCGGCCTGCAGGCTGAAGGGTCCCAGGTTCGGTTCCGGTCAAGGGCATGTACCTTGGTTGCAGGCACATCCCCAGTGGGGGTTGTGCAGGAGGCAGCTGATCGATGTTTCTCTCTCATCAATATTTCTAGCTCTCTCTCCCTCTCCCTTCCTCTCTGTAAAAAATTAATAAAATATATTTTTTTAAAAATAGAATAAAATAAAAATAGCCCTAGCTGGTTTGGCTCAGTGGATGGAGCATTGGCCTGTGGACTCAAGGGTCCCAGGTTCGATTCCAGTCAAGGGCATGTACCTTGGTTGCGGGCACATCCCCAGTGGGGAGTGTGCAGGAGGCAGCTGATCGATGTTTCTCTCTCATCAATATTTCTAGCTCTCTCTCCCTCTCCCTTCCTCTCTGTAAAAAATCAATAAAATATATTTTAAAAAAATAAATAAATAAAAATAAAAAATAAAAGAACTTAGCTTAGAGGCCAACAAATGGTAGGTGCTCAATGAACAGAGGCAGTTATTCATTGCTATTAATATAATTAAAGTTGGAAAAGTGGAATGCAAATAAGTGGCCCAAGAACTGAAGTGACAAACATATATTTATCCCCATTCTCTTGACAGCGGGGGTCTTTTAATGCTTCTCTTGGGGAGAAGGGGAGTGGCACCTGCTGAGTCTTAGGCAGACTTGCTTTTTGTCCGCTCCATATCTGTCATTATGTCCATTTTACAGATGAGGGAACCAAGGCAGGCCAAAGTGAGGTCACTTGCAAAGGTCTCAGAAAGGAGCACAAGGAGAACCCAGATCTGAGCCCAGGTCCATGGGAAGCCCACAGTCTCTATCATCCCTGTCATCATGAGCAGAAGGATACAGTAGGGGGCAGAGAGAGGAGTCCGGCTTAGGTTTGGGTTCCTGTAAGTGTGCCGTGGTTCTGAGTCGTTCATAGGCCAAGAAAAAGGATCCAATTGGAGGGATTCTGAAAGCCACGGAGCAAGAGGAAAAACCCGAGAGCCTGAGGTCTTAAGCCGGAAGCAAGTGTTTGAGTGGAGACAGGAAGAGTCCCTTTCTTGGAAATGGACAGGAAGGCAGAGGAGGGGCGACAGATAAACAGTGAGTGGGGAGGGAGGAAGGTGAGGAGTGCACGTCATCCAGCCACCAGGCAGCATTGCTGAGCACGGCGAGTGTCCCTCGGAGGCTAAGATGGCGGTCAGACATGTGCAAAGGAGTGCGGGTTGCGTTGCTGGTGGAGAGCACGGGGACGATGGGGGCTGCTTCCCTCTGCGGCACTGACCCTTCCTTCCTAAACCTGACACGGATTTGCTCTTCAGCCCCTGATCCTCACAGCGAAAGAGGGTTTTAGGTTGTGCTCCTGACCACGCTGTCCTGACCTGGGGCCACCTCTCCTCAGTGCCTCAGCAGTGCTGGGGGAAGGTGGAAATCGAGGTCGGAATGTGTCCCCCCACCCCCACGGCTATCCCAGATGTCAAGGAGGGAACCCCGGGAGCAAAACACAAGATGGAAATGGTGCAGACAAGGTGCAAGAGCCAGAGGGAAGGAATGGAAAGGCAACAAAATAATTAGGGAAGAAATGGCCTTAAAGAATAAAAAACCCTCAGTGGATAGTCAGCACCGGGGCCACAGGGAATAACCAGAAGCAACCTAAGTGTTCAACAAATGGGGAATGAGCAACAAACGCCCACACACTCCCATATAAGGAACTCCGCAGGACGTTTTGAAGCAATCTTGAAGAATATTTGCCTGCTGTGGGAAAATGTTCTGCTATTTTGCTACATGAAATGGGAAACCAGGTTACAAAGCAGCATGGCACTGGAGAGCTGGGATTCAAAACCAGCTCCACTGCCCTGGCCAGTAGCTCAGTGGTTAGAGTGTCAGCCTGTGTACTGAAGGGTTTCAGGTTCGATTCTCAGTCAAGAGCACGTGCCTGGGCTGCAGGTTCACTCCCCAACCCCAGTGGGTGGCAACCAGTCCATGACACACATCAATGTTTCTCTTTCTTTCTCTTTCCCCTCCCTCCCTCCCACCCTCTCTGAAAAGGAATGGAAAAAATATCCTCAGATGAGGATTAACAACACCACCACTTGCTAGCTGTGTGAGCTGGGGCAAAAGATTTAGACTATGCCTCAGTTTCTTCATCCATAATGTGGGGATGAGAACAGAGCTACCATGTTGGTTGTTATCAGAATTAAGTGGGCTCCTACTTATCAAGAGCTTAGAAAAATGCCTGGTACATATCAAACACTTAATAAATGTTTGCTACTCATTTTTTGGAAATAGAAATACTTAGGACCGGCTGGTGTGGCTCAGTGGTTGAGCATCAAACCATGAACCAAGAGGTCACAGGTTCGATTCGCGGTCAGGACCCATGCCTGGGTTGCAGGCTTGATCCCCAGTAGGGGGTGTGCAGGAGGCAGTCAATTGATGATGCTTCGCTCTCATTGATATTTCTCTCTCTATCCCTCTCCCTTCCACTCTCTCAAAAAATAAATAAATACTTAGGTTACTCCTATCAGAAGATCTGAACCTAAAACTGAGCCTAATCAGGCTTCTGTCTAGATTTAATTACCAGTTTACAGGGAACTACCATTGGCCAAATCCCGAGTGTGGGATGTGATCTGACGTCTTCCACAAATGAATGCTACAGAAAAAAACAAAGGGGCTGGGGCAGGGGTGCCGGGGGAAGCTGTTCAAGCAGAATGTTGGGTATTTATGCGTAAAATGATATGATGCCTGGGATTTGCTTTATAAACTCCCAGGAAGAAAATGACAACGGGAGGCAAGAACATGCGGAAGATTCAAGATTAGCTGTATGTTGATAACCACCAAGGCTGGGTCCATTCTACTTTCAAGAATGTTTGAAAATTCTCATAACAGGAAGCATGAAAATTAATAGAAGTTACAAATTCTTGTGAACATTTTGGAAGAATAGCCACAAAGTGTTGACTAGTGGCTATCTGGGGGAATTAGGCTGTGGATGATTTTAGTTTCTTCTTTCTACATACAGTTGACTCTTGAACAATGTAGGGGTTAGGGGTGCCTATGTCCAGTGCAGCTGAAAATCCACATATAACTATAGCCTGCTCTCCACATATTCGGGTTCCCAACGGGAGTGGACCCTTGAACAACACAGGTTTGAATTGTGCGGGTCAGTGTAAAATCCATATACAGTATCCTGGATCTGCACAGTTCAAACCGTGTTGTTCAAGGGTATTTGTTTTCTCATGTTCCCCAAATGAACGGGTGTTAAATGCATAATTGAAAATTGAATGTATACAAACAGAAGAAAAAGATACATAAGTTCACTTAGAAAAAAAGAAGTTAGAAGGGTTTGCAATGGTACAGAAAAGCAGTGACTTCTAGGCAGTGGGGAAAAGGGTGATGGGGAAATGTATCTGGGAGCATCTGCTGAGGTTTCAGTAATGAGAACAACAAAAACAAACTTTGTTTTAAAACAGCAGAGGTGCACCGACTCTCCAGCTCCACCTCACCTATTTTCCCTGCCCTCCCCTGGCCCTGTGGCCCTCCAGGTCCTCCTCCCTGGCCCTATGGCCTCCCGCTGCCCCACCCCAGGGCCCCCAGACTCCCACACAGCCACACCTCTTCTCAACGGGAGCAGCTTGTTCTCTAGGACATCCCTGGCATCGGTGCCCTCGTCCATCAGGTCAAGCTTGGTGATGACACCAATGGTCCGCAGGCCTAAAAGAGCCCAGAGGTGAAAGGTGCTGTTAGAAAGAAGCCCCAGGCCACCACAGGTCCAACAGCCTCTCCCCCTCCCCCCATATGCAGTACAACCTGGGACAAGCCACAGTGTCACCTACCCAGGTTCTAGTTTCCTTCATGTGAAATTAACACAGCCACAGCACCAATCCCAGGTAGGTGGCCATAAGATTAACCTGGTGCGTGGCAAATGTTCAATCAATAAACACTGGCCACCCGGCCAGCGTGGCTCAGTGGTTGAGTGTCGACCTATGAACCAGGAGATCACAGTTCGATTCTCAATCGGGGCATATGCCTGGGTTGCAGGCATGACCCCCAGTGAAGGGCCTGTGAGAGGCAACCTAGCAATGATCCTCTCTCATCATTGATATTTCTATCTCTCTCTTCCTCTCCCTTCCTCTCTGAAATCAATGAAAAAACAAACAAACACTGGCCACCATCAAAGAGAACACTAGTGACTTGGCTGGAATCAAGGATGCCGGCAAGTTGCAATGCTCAGGGGAACCTGGAAGAGGGAGCTGCTGCTGTAGGATTTGGTGGTTACCTTGTGGGTCGACCTCCTTGGCCATCTTGAGGGCATCTGAGTTGGCCAGGTCCATGTTGGCAGGGGTCACGGCTAGGATGAGGCTGCTCTCCCGGCTGATGAACTGCAGGATCATGTCCTTGATTTGGTACTCGATGTCTGGGGGTTGGTCCCCCACAGGTACCTTGGTGATGCCTGGGAGGTCTATGAGGGTCAAGTTCAACACTGGAAGGGAAACCAGAAGGAAAGGTCATCAAAGCTGAGGGAGGGGAGGCACACACAGCCACTTCAGCCACTCAGCTCATTTCCCCAAATACCAGGCGCCAGGCCTCAGGATTCCTCTTGCTGCTCCAACTGGGTCACACCTTTTGATCCAGTAACGCCCCTTCTGGGATCTTATCCTACAGACACCCTGTATCTGCTCTATTTTGGTGATATAGTTTTAAATGAGAACATCTGTATTTGCATACTAAAATTGCTTTAAATGGCTAAATAAATTTCAACCCAAAGATTCAGCCAATACTAAGGAAACATTAAAAACAAAAAGATGATACTCTAATAAGAAGAAACACACTCCGAGATGCATTCACACAAAAGAGGCATAAATGGTTTTTAAATAACGCTACAATTTGAGTAAATATACACATGCATATATTAATAAATGCTTAAATATGCATTATCATATGAAGAACATGAAATATATTTGCAATATTGGGGGCCAGAGTGGGTATTTACTGTATTTTCTTTTGTAATTTTTTAATGTGAGCCGCCTATAGGTATAATTTATTCAAAAATAAATTTTAAAACTCATCACAAGGATCCCATACTGAGGAGTTAAGAGTCTGCTGGACTATTCCCCAAATGCTATCTAAGTTAGCAATCTGTGCTCTGGGCCCCAGGCCGTGGATGACCATAGGCTGCTCTCTTGATGACACAGAGTGTTAAAGGCAGGACTTTTGCAGAGAAGTCTTTCTGGATCTTCTGGAGAAACTGAAAAAACCTGGCTGATTTCACTTGTCACTATGTGGCCACCATCACCTGGGAGCCAAGTGGTATCTGCTCCTTTAAAAGGAGCAGACAAAAATGGCAATTACAGAATAGTCATGGGATGTAAAGCATAGCACGGGGAGTATAGGCGATAATTCTGTCGTAACTATGTATGGTGTCAGGTGGATACTAAACTTTCGGGGGGTATCACCTAAGTTATATAAATGTCTAACCTCTATACTGTACACCTGGAACTAATAAACTACTGAATGTCAACTTTAATTAAAATTTTCTTTCAGCCGTAACCGGTTTGGCTCAGTGGATAGAGCGCTGGCCTGCGGACTGAAGGGACCCAGGTTCGATTCCGGTCAAGGGCATGTACCTTGGTTGCGGGCACATCCCCAGTAGGGGGTGTGCAGGAGGCAGCTGATCGATGTTTCTCTCTCATCGATGTTTCTAACTCTCTATCCCTCTTCCTTCCTTTCTGTAAAAAAATCAATAAAATATATTTTTTAAAAAAAATTTTCTTTCAATTAAAAATAAATCCATAAAGAAGTAAAAGGAGCATCTAGCTACAATTTGCCCCAGTCCCCACCACACCTGACAGTCTTCCTGGCAGCTGTTTTTCTGAGAGCTGAGATCAGTATCACCTTTCTATCAAAAGTGGGAAGCTACAGATCAAGAGGGCTGGGTGTATGTGAGAAAAATGGGAGGGGACATATTCTTTGTGACAGTCAGGCCGACCCAACCTGTGACCGGCGCAGTCAGCTCTCCTCTGCCCCCGTGATAGGTACGTGCTCATGCTGCCTACCGTGCGGTGAGTAGACCCGCAAGTTGATGGGCACTGGGGAGATGCCTTTGTTGGTCCCCGTGACCCTGTCGGTCTCCGCTTCAATCTCCTGTCGGACTTCATCAAAGTCTGTAAACTTTTTGGACTTGCAGTGCAAAAATTCAGCATATTCTGCAAAGGGAAAAAAGATGTTTAAAATGAGAAAGAGAAGCAGTCTTGTAGTGGGTGGGGAGCAGACGGCCTTGTGGGGCAGGTGCTTTGCAAGCAGAGAAAGTGAAGAATCAGTCACAATCATTCTAGGAATCCACAGAGCAATAGATTCAGCCTCATGACAAGTATTTGGTGGGGGGTGGGGCGCTCCTATAGACCAAGCCCCCCTCCAGACCTCAGGGATTCCACAAGGAGCAAAACTGGCAAAGATCTCATCCCCAGGGAACGGACATTCTCATGAAGCATTTTGCAAAACTACATACACATAGTGACATATTATGAGTAAAAAGAAAAAAAAAAATCAACAGATGGATGTGACCACATTTATTCTTTTTGGATGAACAGAATAAAAGAGGAAATAGGACATATCACTCAGATCATGGGTTATATACATTTTAAAAAATATATATTTTTAGTGATTTCAGAGAGGAAGGGAAAAGGAGAAAGATAGAAACATCGATGAGAGAGAATCATTGATCGGCTGCCCCCTACTAGGGATGGAGCCCACAACCCAGGTATGTGCCCTGACCAGGAATCGAACAGTGACCTCCTGGTTCATAGGCCGATACTCGACCACTGAGCAACCAGAAGCTGATGAAGCTTCTGTTGTGGTGTCACACACGAGACTGAGTCCCGGGTCAGGTGCAGAACCTCCCTCACCGTGGGTCACGGTGAAAGATGCGAATCTGTGTCCCAGTGTGTTTCCATGCCACCAACACTTGCCAGCTGGCACACGTCCTGGGATCCATTTGCCTTTCCCCCAGGCACCCACACGGTATGGGGAATAGAGCATTACTGTTTGCCTCACCAAAGCCTGTCTCAATGTCCCTCCTCCCCTCCTGGCTATTCAAGGGGTCCCCCACCTAGACATGAACCCTTCAGAAGAAATGCTTTCTGGGCAGGGCCTCAAGTGGATGTAAGAGGCCACTCCATGCCTTCTGAGCCCAGGGTGTCTGAAAGCCATATTGACACTGAGATGGAGGGGAAAATAAGTAACTAGCAAGGCAGTGCTGGTCCTGTCATCAAGCTAGAGAAATGCAAATCCAGATATGGGATAAAGAATAAAAAATATTCATTGTAGGACATAGGTATTTACTGAGTTTACAGGTATTTACCAAATAATCCCTCAACTTTTCCTTATGTTTGAATTTTCATAGTAAATGTTAGGAACAAGGCTAAGAGATCACGGCTCCTGCCAAAAAGAGATGCTAAAAAGAGGGAAATAAGTCACACAGCAAACAGCCTAAAAAACCGGACCACTACAGAGATGCAAAAATGTGTCCCACAGTACTTTCACAAAGTGAAAAACTAGAAAGCACTTCCATGTCCACCAGGAAGAGACGTGGCTACATAAACCGCAGCACAGACATATCATTAGCTGCCTCAAAAGAAAGGATGGAGGCCTGGCCAGTGGGCTCAGCGGTTAGAGTGTCAGCACAGGCACCGCAGGATCTCGGGTTCGATTCCCAGTCAAGGGCACACACGTACCAGGATTGCAGGTTAAATCCCCAGCCCCAGTTGGGGCCCATGTGGGAGGCAACCAATCGATGTCTCTTTCACATCAATGTTTCTCTCTCTCTCTCTCTCTCTTTCCCCCCCCCACTTCCTTCCTCCCTTCCATCCACTCTCTCTAATATATAAAAAATATAAAAAATAAATCAATGGGAAAAATATCCTCAGGTGAAGATTAACCAAAAGAAAGAAAGAGAGAGAGAGAAAGAGAGAGGAAGAGAGAGAGAGAGAGAGACAGAGAGAGAGAGAGATCTAGAATTTCTACCCACAGGTCACAAGAGGAAAAAAAATGAGTTCAAGGAACTGATTTCGCCTTCCCATCACAGTAGCCTAGCAAACTATGACCAACATTCAGCCCTTGTTCTGTGTTGGCCACAGTTTGCTCCTCACAAGTGAACACCTCAGCAGGTAGCCATCTCTGCAATGCCTGTACTACAGATAAGAAAACTGAGGCCGGAGAGGTGAAGTGACTTGGCCCAAGTTCAGCAGTGGAGCTGAGATCTGGAGTTCAGATAATCTGTCTGCAGGCAGTGGCTCTCAAGTCACATGGCCACTGTGAAGCCACCTGCGGGCAATTCCTCTCTGAAGCTCTGTAAGGTCAGGGGGACACCGTGAGCTCAGATCACTGAGGACCTTGTCCAGCAGGGGCAATGAGGACACCAGCTGGAGGATCCAGGATCGCCCACCCCACCCCCATCAGCTGACCCAGTTCCCAAGGACAGTCACGCTCCAGCTCTCCACAGGGACAAGAGGAAACACTCGGCTGCTCTTCCTGCAGCAGCCACCCCAAAATGGAGCAGTTCTCCAACCCCCACAGCAAACCTCAGTTCTTTTCCGGCTCAAGGCCCTGGGCTCAGCACCTGCTAGAGACAATCTCCCTTCAAGGACAAGTACAGGGGCATGTGGATGAGAAAGGTCCCCTGCAGACCTCTGCCCAGCCAAGCCTGGTACCTAGAAGGCCTGGCCCCACCTCCTCCTCTTCCAGGGTCTACCTGCCTGTCACTTCTTCTAGGGAGCTTTTCCTGACTCGATGTCACTGGGCATTCCATCCTGCATCTTGGGTGTCTTCCCCCATCAGAGCCAGGTCACTGTGGATCATGTTTATGGGACCAGGACCTGTCAGCTGTGGCCCCCCAGGGCCCTGCATGTGCTGGCTGTCTCCAGTCTGTGTGGGTCAAGGATATGCAGGAGACGGTGCTGGAAAGCCCCCGCTTCTTCCCCAGCATGTCAGTGGGCAGCAGGAAGGGTCCCTCACCAGCTGCCTTCACCCGCACGCACCCTGGATCTAATCTGCAGCCTAGGCATGTGCCTGACTGGGAGTCAAACCTTGCAACCTTTTGGTGTAAGGGACAACGCTCCAACTAACTGAGCCAGCCAGCTGGGCCTCACCACCTGCCTTCTTTTCTGGGCTCCTTGCCACTTTGGAACCCTGTGCTAGATTCCAGGGTCATACCAACATTAAAAAGCTTCTTCCCGTGGCACTGACCCTTTTAAAGCCAAACCTCGGCCTTCCTCTCCTGGGAACCCTCCATGTCTCCCACCTCATCCGAGTAAAAGCCAGTCTTTACCACGACCTACAAGGCCCTACAAATTTCCTTCCCCCCCATTTCTGACCTCAACTCACCCCTTCTCCAGTCATGCCAGCGTCCCTGCTCACAACTCCAGGCCTGCGCCTACCTCAGGGCTCTTCTCTCATCTGCAGGCACGCTCAGGGCTCCCTGCCTCTCCTCATTCAGGCGTTACTTTCTCTGCAGGCCTGCCCGGGCCCCCACCTGAGATGACAGGCCTCCCCAGTGTCTTTCCCTCTTCAGTGCCTTATCCTTCTCATCCTCCAAGCACTCCAATACCATTTACCTTCTCATCCTGTGTATTTTCTCTGGTTCCCAGCTGGAAGGTGCACCCCACAGGGCAGGGACCTGATTCTTGTTGTGCACTGTGTCCTCGGGGCTCCTTCTGGGCACGCAGTAGGTGCTCAATGATTTTATGCATGACCGAATCACTCTGCTAGAATATGGCTCCCGCTTCAGCTTCTTGGGGTGGCCCAATACCCCCAAAGCCACCAAGCTGGGTATATGGGAGTCTAGACAGAGAAGGGTCTGGCAGGGCCATCTGTTGTCTTCCCCCCCTCCCTCCTTCCCAAAGTACTACTTAACGACAGGGGGCGACACAGGCCCCGCCCCGAGCCAGGCTCCTGGTCCGACGGGGAAGATGGACCCTGCATAAGCATGTCACAGCAGGTCTGACAGGCCCAACATACTAGGAACTGGGAGGGATGGCCTGCCTGACTCCAACCCCAGTCCATGTGATGGAGGCAGGTAAGGGTAGGGGTAGGCAGAGAGCCTGTGCCTGCACCATCTCACTGAAGTGACATTTCCCCATGTCCTGAGCATGCTCTGTACCTAGAGGAGACTACAAGGGCGGGAGGGGCCTGCCTACTGTCCAGGCTCACTCTCTGTACCTTGGTTTCCCCATGAGGAAAATCTAAACAGGAGAAACAGACAAGAAGGGCTATTAGCAAAGGCCTCCACAACCCTGTATGTGTTCAAATGTGGAGATGACTTAACTATCCATGGTCTCAATAAGTCAGAGGCCTTAGGGTTGAGCTCATCACCTGCGATTCCTGAAGAGCTCCCTCTCAACTCGTTCCCAGCAGCCAAGGCTGAGCTACTGCCCAGTCTGCCTGCCACAGTCCCCACCGCAGAGCGTCGCCGGTCCCCAGCCCAGCTGCTGCGTTTCCAAACCTCTTCCTCATGCGCAGATAACAAAGCCAGTCCCTCCGGTTCCCAGCCCCTGCCACAGTATTTCAACAGCCACACAAACACCCCCACACTCTTAGCCAAGTGCGCTTCCCTGGGAGGAGGGTCAGCATGTGTAATCAGGTCTTGGGGCTCCACGGGACCCAGTCCAGAGCCGGGAGCACAGCAGGAATAAAGGAATAAAGTGGGCCCTTGTCCAGCAGTCACACTGCCAACCCAGAGGAGCCAGCCACCATCGTCCACCGCAGGGCTTCCCGCCTCGTCCTAATTGTGGGGTCAATGAATGCACTTGCAGTACTTTTCTAGAAAGAGGTTCTGCTCACCCCCCACCCCGCTCCCCTCCCAACTTGTTCCCTGCCTCCTCCAGGTCTCAGCTCTAAACACCCTACACAGGGAGACCCAACCTGACCACCCGATGCCAGCAGCACCCGTCTGTCGCTCTGTCCTCTCCTCCACAGCACTCCTCACCTTCCCTACCCCAAAGGCAGAGTAGGTCACTGCTGGCGTTTCTTTTTGTTTGTTTCTTTTTTGTTAATCCTCGCCCCAGGATATTTTTTCCATTGTCTTTTTTAGAGAGAATGGAAGGGTGGGAAGAAGTGGGGTGGGGGTGGGGGGAGAAACAACATGGATGTAAGAGACACATGGATTGGTTGCCTCCTGCACAGGCCCCAACCAGGGCCTGGGGATCAAACC